GTGGGGGAACTTGCACAATCGGTGGCTGACTAAATACTTTTTTGCCCCACTGTACATACATAAGCATATGTGCTACAACAGGAGTTGTTACTTTTGTCCTAAAACTGAGACTACATTTGACATTTGAGCTCACCAAAACTGGACAACAACAACGTTGACCAGTCTGATGAGTCTTTCTGCTGTGGGTAAACATGAAAGCATGGACCCATCCTGCTTTGAATCAACAATTTCAGCTGCTGGTTGTGTAACAGTATGGGATATATTTATGGAGAAAAATATACCTCAAAGTCATTGCAAATGCATACGATATGATCCACAAGCATAAACCAAGATTTATAATTTTGTATAGTGATTTGTTTGTGACTTTTCAGGAATCACAAATGCGTGCTCCAATCCACACACAAATACGAAGCAATTTGGCCACATGTAAAACTATTCTACAAATGTGTATGAATGCCAAGCGTCATGTCTGGAGAAAACCAATGACCCTAAGCACACAGCCAAGATAACAAAGGAGTGGCTTCAAAACCACTCTGTTAATGTCCTTGATTGGCCCAGACAGAGGCCAGACTTGAACCTGATTGGACATCTCTGGGGAGATCTGAAAATGAATGTGCACTGACACTCACAGCTTGGGCGGTTCTGCAAAGAGGAATGGGAGAAACTGCCCACAAATAGGTGGGCAAGCTTGGAGCATCATACTCAAAAAGAGTTGAGTCACTAAAGCAATGTTTCCCAACCACCGTGTCTTGGCACATAGAGTACCAATCAGGTGAAACCTAAGCAACCAGCCTGAGTAATGGGCAGAACAATTACGTTCTCTTCCACTAGAGGGCATTACAACTTCTTGCTCCAATTAAATGTGTTGCCAACTGCCAGAAAAACAGAAGAAGAAAATAAATAGTGATGCCACAATGAAGCACGTAAAAGCAATAGATTAATATTTGAAAACAAAAAGTAGTCAATCTGACCTGGGACCTGGAGAAAATTCTGATCCATATTAAGGCCCTAGCATGAATAGTGGTCAGAAGAAAGCAAAAATGTTATATTAGGGATAAACCGAGCCAATTCCACTATATCTGGTGCATAGGGGGAAATTGTCAATATGCTTTTTGTGACAATTTTGTTTAGTGGTGTGCCGCGTGATTTTTCTAATGTGAAATATGTGCCGTGGCTCCAAAAGGTTGGGAAACACTGCACTAAAGCATTGAATTTTTTTTTGCATGAATGGGTGTGAATGGGTGAATGAGACGTGTTGTTTAAAGCGCTTTGAGGGTTCAGGCAGAGCAGAAAAGCACTATATAAAAACTAGTCCATCTACCATTTAGATGGACTGTATATTATAAATTACAGCTAATTTATAGCAATTAGAATTAACAATATACAACAAAACTAGAATTTAAAAATGATTCTACAAAGAAATGTAGAAAGTGCACGTTAGCTAAAATAAAGCTTTAGACAGAATTTATGATGTTAATATTATACCAGACACCAAATAGCTGTTCCATAAATAAATAAATAAATAAATGAACAAAAAAAAAACTTTTATTGTGTTGAGGCATAAAAGCATAAAACAGTGCTTATTTTTGGTGATTAAAACAAAGGTCAAGGACTAATTCAATAACAGAATAACAATGCTTGTTGATTTGGGAGTAATGCAATATATTTTTAATGAATAAAGCAAATCTGTGTGGGAGAAACACAACAACACATTAAAATAATGAAAATATAAGCAATGTAATTTGGTAAAGTTTTAGTAAGACTCTGGCTCAGAGCAGACACTCTCATAGAGTGATGAAAATGTTACCCAGACATATTTCAACAGATAAGTAAAAATCGCAAATCAGCATACAATGATCAGAAGCAGTAAGTTCGTTGCACCATTTCATCAGTAAAACTCAGAACTTACATTTCTTTCCCTGCTTTCGCTTGAAAAGCTAAATTTGTCTTCTTATCTTCTAATATTCAAATGGCCACACTGTTTTCTACCACTGCTGGATCCATGTAGGTGTATGGCACGTTTAAGTGGTTGTTTCTGGCTTTGATGACTCCACTCAAAATTTCAAGCTCCGCCTGAAAATCCTTTAATATCTTGCGAGGAATCTCCTCAGTGAAATGCTCCTCTGGGTACTGGCCAAGAGGGACCTAATGAGAACAGTGATACATTCAGTTTTTCTTCAACAACATTCAAATTTTTGTCAAAATAACTAAAAATTATTCACAAAAATTTACTGTAAACATAATTTCTGACATTCTTAATGAAATCTTTGCTCCTTACAAAGTCACTGGACTGCTTGCTGAGGAGCCACACGGTGGCCATGCCCTGAACTGTTACGTTGACATCAGGGAAGGTCGCCAACATCGTGGCCTCGCTTGTCGTCCCCTTTTTGGTCGGTGGTGGGAGTTGCAGGGAGATGGGAGTGTTGGGCATCCAGCCAGCATAGTCAAACTGTATTTAATGAATAAGTAAAGGATTTACTAAGATTAAAAAGCATAGTTTTTAATTCTGTCTTTGTTTTTTAATATTGTTGTTACCTTCCTGCTGTTGTATGGTATTATTCATACAATTATTTACATTTTCCCTTTGCATGACAATGAGTTCATTTGATTTTGGGAGAAATGTTCATAAGCTACAACTTGTCAGTAACATGACTGACTATAAAAAGAGCGTCTTAGGGAGGCATGTGATGTTTTTTATGTTCTATTGTGAATAAAATGAGGGTTTTTGAGATTTGCAGACCATTACATTGATCGTGTTTTTATTGACATTGTAAACTGTGCCATTTTTTTCATTATTGGGATAATATAAGAACTCACCTGTCCACTGTTCACAGCTGCATGCTGGGCTGAGCAGGTGTAGATCACCATGGTGACAAACTTGATCAACTCAGTCACACTGGTAAATGTCTGAGGAATTCCTGAAATAACAGCATCATTCCTTTAGGTTTAGGTTGCAATATATAGTATGGAGAAATCACCACTATCATCATAATAATTGAAGATAGTAATTGAAACTCACCTGTTTCTGCTTGAGAAAGGAACCCGTGTTCAAAAATGTCCAAAATCCACTTCTGAAGTTCAGAGTCCTCCTGGACCTCACGGTCACTCTTGTAGTAGTAGCCGAGCATTCCCTGCACAAACCTTTGAGAAATGGGAATACACTGTGTAAAACATGTTTTTATTATTTGTACACAAACTGCTCCAGGATTATTTAAATAATAAAAAATTGTATTTGCCCTAATTCTTTTGTTTCAAAAAATACATAAAAATAAATGGCACAAAGTACCTTGTCCTGATTAAAAATAGGGAGGTTACAGGTTCACGATCAACACACCAAGTGTTTATAATTTAACTTAGTGAAGGTAGGCTTCTGTAAGTAGCAGACACATCTCTCAGTTTAGAGGCATTTTAGTTTCAACAGAAATCTAAATGTTGTTTAATAAGATCAAGGCAGGCTGTACATGTGGTGACAGCTACTGATATACAAAGGGACATAACTTGTTTAAACATACACTATTAAAGAACAGGCTCAGGATACTCTTGCAAAACAGATCTCATAAGTTTTACTTGTTGGTCAATGAAGGTTAAAAAACAGACTAACCGAAAAAAACTGATGCAAGGAAAATGTTGGCAAAGACTAGAAGAAGAGGTGTTATGCAAGCCACACTCAAATGTGACATTCACAAAAGAAAGCTTTTGCAATAAAACAAAGAAATCTAGTTAAAAAAGGTACATAGAAAAGGTGTAACGTATCTGTCTTTTTCTGTCCACATTGGAGATTTGAAATAATATTAATGACAATGATAACAAATCGGTTAGCCAGCACAAAGACATCTCTTAATTCAATTCCTTCACCAATGAAGACCATAAATACAAAAAACAAAAAGCAAACAGACAATGAGATCAATGCTTTACACCATGTGCTTTACACGCTGTGCAAAGAAATTGTCATTGTTGTCTTTTGCAAAGGAAAGTTTGTTATTACTGTGTGCTCAAATATATGACTTTACAGGAGGCTTTTATTTATTGATTTTCATATTTTAACCAGCCAATACTGTGGAGAAAGACCAGATCAGTTTTTTATGCTGATTTAAGATAGGATGACCCATTATTTACAAACTGCAGCTTGATGGCATCATTAGGAGAAATTCAAAATCAAAAGAAAAGAAAGTGTGGTACCTGTGGATGATATCCCAAACCTTTAGTCCATCATCCCTGTAGTAGAAGTTTGGCACAGCCTCCACGCCACGTTCAGCAATGTCATCAGGTATGCAGAGGGAGCTGTAGGTTAATGAGGACACTGACCTCTGTAGGATGGTAAACATGCCCTCTCCACCTGATGATGCAAACTAGAGAATGGGTAGCTCACAGTTAGAGACAAATGTTGTACATGACACTGAAAAAGAAAAAGAATTCTTAAGGTAAAGGTCTAGTGAGTGTGTATGGTGTTATTTTTGTGCCTCTACTCTGAGTGCACGTTACAAAAAGAGAAAAAAAAAAGTGTTGTTGTTGCATTTTGAGAAGAAAAATATTTTTGATTGAAGAAAAGTTTAATTTGAGTGAACAAAATTCATTGCTGTGTGCAAGGAATGCATTTCAGTGTTTGCTATTATCCATTTACACACACAATAACAGCCACTCGGTTGTTGGCATTTGCTCTTGCTCAGATCTCTGCTCTGTGTGCTGACGGACATCTGTAGGCCTGCTCTCAGTGCGTATGTGCCACAAAGCAAACCAATCACAGACTTGGATGCAAAAATTCTGATTGGCTGTTTTGGTCTCCAATCAGCTCGCTAGCCACAGCATTCCGGAAACACTGTCCAAAGTGTAGCTAAATCCAATAGAGTGGTTTGGTTTAAACTAGATTAAAACCAACAATGGACTTAAAACATTTTATATTTTCAAATAAAATAACATACTTATCACACATACTGCATGCTGCAGTTAATTTTGTTTGGTCAAATTAAACTTTTCTTCACTCAAAGTAATTTTCTCCCTAAAATTCAACATTTGTACTTGCGGAAACAGTTTTTACGCCATAAGTGTGCTGGTCGTACTGCATACCTGAGTGAAATTGCCAGTGTCAGAAATTAGAAGACGCCGAGCTAAGAAGTTGATCTGCATAGTGTAGCGCGTGTGAGGATTGAGGAGCTGCAGGAAAGAGGGAACTCGGTTAGTGACATGATTGGGGCAACACTTCATTTTATTGTCCACAACCAGCCGTTATGGACAAATGCTTTCCACACCACTGAAATAATGGCATAAAACAAACTGAAGTTTCAGCAAACGTCAGTTACCTTGTACAGAGGATGCACCATGGGCACGTTGCGCAGCAGTGACACTGCAAAAACCTCAGCCAGCAAGTGCGTGCGCAGAAGGTGAACATTGAGCTGATGCTCATTGAAATCTGCACTTCTTACAAAAATCTTGGCGATCAACCAGTCGTACTCAGAATCAGTAGGAAGAAAGATCGGGTTGTCATCTGATGGAGTCTGCTTCAGCTACAGAAGGACAGGGCAGAGTAGTCATTTGATACAGATGATCAAGTATGCTCCTATAATCAATTACTGATCCAGACTGATGAAATTTCAGTTCCTGTTCTATGTTTGACAAGTTTATCTTTAAAGTTTGATACTCTGCTGATCCCTTATGGGGAATTTCCACTGAATCCCTTCTGACAGAGCATTTCTTCTGAACAGCTTTACATGATGCTTTTAATTAGTTTTTACTGATGCTATCTCTCTCTGCTCAGTAAATATGTTGCATATGTTGCATCTGTGTGAGTGTATTGTACAGAATGAACTGTGAAGGCTGTTTGTGATTTTGGCGCCATAAATGAAACTGACTTGATTTATGTACGTGTCAGACTCTGCATTCAGCAATCTGGATACTGCTATGGGATGAACTTTCACAAGGCTAAGGCTCAGCAAAAACACTTCACAGCTGGTGTTCTGATATGGTACTAGCTATGGTTGCAAATAGAATATCCTTATATTTTGATTTTACAATGACGTTGTACATGAACAATTGCTTTACACATTAACAGGTGTGCTATCTCTACTGATGAGCTGATAAATACACGAACTTAAACCTTACTGTCTGAATTACCTGAATGGCAATCGGCATTAGCTTATCATGAGGATCTTTGTGGAGCAGGACGAGAGGAGCCATCAAGTACTGCTTCTTCCCATTGATGGTGTTTGCTTTTACTCCATCCAGAAGCTTGTAGTCACACAGGAATATGTTCCCTTTCTGTTTGAAAGTTCAGGATATTGCAACAGTGTGGATATAATATTTAGTCAGTGACTGTACAAGTACAATTATTTGACAAAAAATCAATTTATTATAAAGAATTCAGATGATCACCTTCATTTCATCTGCCAGGCTGCACTGGCCATGGGGAAAGACCATGTCATCAGTGACAGGGAAGTTACTGGGCAGGGCTGTACAAAGCTGAATCAACATGGGGTTGAAGAAAGCATCCTCTTTCCAGTGTTCATGAACATATTCTGTGAAAAAGAAACAAATTCAATTTCTGACTTCATGTCTTAAATGTTATATCAAATATAAAAAAAGGTAAGACCTTTCCGTAAATGTGTTGATACACATTCTTTACATTTTTAAACACTTATCATTAATGTAAAATAGGGCTTCACATTCTTCCAAGATCAGATTAAAAAACAACAACAAATGAACACATACTGCCATTAGTCATTATGCTAGCAGCTTATTCTAGGAATAATTTTAGAGTAACAGCTAAGTACATATTATTGTTCATACAGTATAAGGACTCCATTATGCTATGATGTTAATTACCTGATATGTCAGTCTTTTTGCAGCACAACACTCGATTGATGCTGTCAATATTATCCCACTTCTTCTTACAGTTATCCAGTCCCTTCAGCTTCAGCTCAGTCAGTCTGAAACAGAAGAGCACATTTATTTAACTT